CCTGGGGTGCCAAGATACCTCTTCCAAGTTTTGCAACAGTAACCGGACTTTTGACCTCTTTGTTCAATACTGTATATATATATATATATATCAGTGTCAGTGTAAATTACTTTTACCTGATGATGACAAAACCTTGTTGAAATGTTGCACATCTGCTGTTATGTTAAACTTATATTAAAGGTTTTCTTCATTATCCATTCAAGCCATTTCCAAGCATTATTAGTCTCAAAGTGGGTTCCTCGTCATCAAAGTTAAATACCCAAATCTCAAAGGCAGGACATATATTACACCCTGCAATGGTTCAAGGATACCAAGGAGTGTCATCCATTTTCACATACGTGAAAAAGACATTTTTCTAGTTATATTCATGTAAAAACATTATAAGATATTTAACGGAAGTATAGATTCTTCACAGAGAATCACACTGAATATAGCTGGTCCTCCATCCAAAACAGACAAAAATAAATGGAAGGAGCTGGTTGCTACTGGTTACTTCACTGACATTATGGTGGAGCAATGAATAACCACATTTGTAGCACCTGAAAAGGTCAAATGGATTAATATGCCAACTTGAACAGCCAGTTGTTTGCAAAGTTTTGTCAAGTATTTTGTGTATTGAAAATGAGCACTCAACCATATCATCCTTAGTCTGAACCAGTTAGGATGAGCATCTACCACTTGTCATGATGGTGTATTATGTAATTAAGAAAACTGAGTTGGTTGTTTTCTGAAGCTCCTGAGTTCAGATACTAATATCCAATGTATATATATGGGTGTGGAATTCATAATGCCCATTGGACAAGTACTTTTTCTATCACATTATTCATTCTCTTGCTGGAAACACTCCAGGCATATTGTTATGGAGCCATGCAATTTCCTCAGAATTCTGAACTGTGGAAATTTAGCACATACACACAAAAAAAGTTAAAAATGTGTAACTCTAAATATGAAACCAAAATAATATACATATCCCTTTAATTCACAAACCCTTTCTTACATACACAATAATAAATATTTAAATTACTATAACAATATTAGTACAGTTTTTGCCTACAGTAGGAGCCTAGTACAGTTTTACATAAAATACACAACACCAAGTACAAAAAGCTTTAAACTGCTTTATGTACATATATACAGAGTGTTAAATACATTCCATTAAAACAAATTTGAATATGCATATCAGAAAATCACATGACAATCATAGTTGTTATAAAGTCATGGCGATTTGTTTGTTTGTAGTTAAGCACAAAGCTGCACAATGGTCCATCTGTGCTCTGCCCACCATGGGTATCAAAACCTGGTTTCTAGCAATACAAGTCTGCAGACATACCATTATGCCACTGGGGGACAAGTCATTGTGGAATGGTATATATATCAGAACTACATTTTGACACTGTATGGCATTTCACAGGTAATGTGATGCTGCCAAACACTGATCATTTTTGGAATAGTACATAACAAACATATTTAGCACAAAATATTTACAAGATCTGATCATAAAGAAGTTTTCAGATCAAAGATTTAGAATTTCAAAGACAGTTATATCCTTTGTATTTAATGGCCTTGGAAAACAAAGGAATATAGATTAACTCAGAGCATAAAAACCATCCAGAAAACAAATTGTACACCAATCATGGTAAACAAGGAGTAGTACCTTGTAACATGTAAAAATTAAGGAACAAAAAGGTTAGAGGCATAAGTCATCCACATGTTCAAGACATTATGGAACATCTGAAAAAGTGATAAAAGTTGCATGCAAACAAGTTGCTTCCACAACATAGTTGTTCAACTGTTGCAGATCATAAGCAGCTGCAGAATGAAATTGGTATTCATGCTATTCTGTACAAAAACATACCAGTCAAGTCACTGGATGCAGCATTTATAGGTTACTGTGAAATCAGTCTATTGAAATGAGCACTGTAAAACAGTCATCCTCATACACAACATGGCTTATGAAAAACTGAAAAAAAGAAAGGCAAGCTTTAGACATGAGAGCCTTTTGCAATTAAAACTATGATACAGGGTTAATGTCAAATAAAACATGACCAGATATGGCAACTAAACTGTAATAACATGGTGAGGCACCAAAATCATTTTCATATAACACATACAACTTCTGTATATATTAAACACTATTTTAGTTTGTAGCAGCAGTAATTTAAACAATGGTTTTATCATGTTTTTTTTGTGTGGGTATTCTACATGCTGCACTGTATAATCCTAACGACTAAATGATAAAAAAAACTATAAAATGCATAACCAATACCTTTGAAGAGCTTAGATCCAAAATGCAGGATACACCATTCCCAACAAAACTTATATGTCAATGTAATTGTAGTAATTGTGTTCACTGTTAAATAAAAAGAAAATCTTAAAAACTATGATCAATTTTTGTGTGTAGATTTTTTGGGAAGGGGAGGGAGCAAATAAATTTTTCTAGCATTCTGTCTGTTGACAAGGTTGAAGATTTTTCTTTTTCCCACAATCCTTAGCTATTCTACAAGAAAATAATGAATGACTGCATTCTCCAATAGCTGATGCATATGAACTGGCATGTAAGCAACTGGGTAAAGTGGCCATATGTCAAAAAGAAAAAAAACATGTTACAACAGAACAGTAGAGGAATAAACATTACAGCCTGGTAATGGGTATAACTATGGGATGCAGTTGAAGCTAATAAGAAACTCCATTACAGAGATCAATTTTAACAGCCGTTTGAGACAACTAAAATCTTCCTCGGATGACCAACTTAAGCCCCCATGTTGTCCGACAGATGACTAGCACCCTGGAACAAACCTGTACTCAAAACAGCATCACAGTCTACTGTATACTTATCCAAGCTTACACTACACACATAATATGTTGACTCTGATCCTCAACCAAAATCATTGGTAAATTCCCTAACTTCAAACTCAAAAATGTGAACTCTCACAAAAATATCTTTTGGTTCATTTTTTTACTTAAAAAAGATTGTACTTTGTACAAGAGAAATGTTGATACAATCCACCAAAAGTAGCTGAAAACATTAGGAAAAATTTGCGTTTGAGATCGGCTAATAATGCCGTTCTAGTCATTAAATTTTCTGTCGTGGACAAGCTGCACCTCTGTGCTGCCTTATGCACATAAATCTTGTATGGAGTTCAATTGAGCATGAATGGCTATGTGTGGTAACATAGTACAGTGTATATAGCTCAGTTAGTTACAACACCACACACTGTATTGTGCAATGTTTGTATGCAAATATATGTCTCAACTTCTTACTAATAAACCTTTGTTAGGAACTAAAACAATCAAATATTATAAAGTCAAACTCAGAAGTTTCATCATTAATCATCACAGTTGAAACACTGAACCCCTTTTGATTGCACATGTATAGGCCTAAGGCTAAAGTTAGACAAGACCAGCTGAGTCTAGGAAATACAAAAGAACTAGCTACTAAGAGAAAAGCAGGATAATCCACAAATTAAACAGAACATAATAATGATAACTACAAACACAATTTTATGAAAGTTGTGATCAGTATGAAACAAAATAATAATAAATATAATAAAGCTAGCTTTGCCTCTTTACAGGTTAATATAAACTACAAGTATGAATGACAATACCTATCAGTGGTGTGCGTGTGTACATGTGCAGTGGTCAGGCATTCTGTACATACTATGGTATATCAGTATGTGTGAGAATTCTTATGCAAGCTTAGTCTTACTACAGATTGTGTTTTACTGTACTTGACAGACAGGCCAAGAAAGTTAGAATGAAAACATTGAACATTATTGGCCAAGATCACTGTTCTACTTAAAAGTTTTACAGGTCATTGACTGTTTGTTTCTTTAAGATACTATGTATCATCAGCATAGTCTGGGTTTTTTTAATGTAACAACACTTCCCAGGTAATAAGGGGTCAAAAATTAGTTAAATAAATATACAAAATTACCAACTAAACATTAATTGTACTTTTTGGAAATAAATAAGATATAAAAATATCAAAATTCTTGTAATTAGGTCTTTGTTCATCAATACTGTCATAACTGGATCTTTTTTGAAGATCTATGTTTTTTTGACAACCAATACAACCTTCCAGATAACCTGGAAAAATTATTTAAAATCAAGGCCTGCATTCTATTTGTTTCTCTTATTTTTTAATATAAAGCTGCACTATAGGCTATCTGTGCTGTGCCCATCTCTGGTATTGAAACCATGTTTGTAACGTTACAAGCCTTCAGAATGACTGCTGTGCCACTAGGGGTCAAGCCAGTTCTGTTTGTGCTTGTCTATATTTCATGTGTCATCAGCTGAAGAGGGAGAATTATGAGCCACACCCGTCTCATGATGCATGCAAAAGCATAGAATACACCTAAATTCAATGGTATTAAGCTTCTCAAAAATTGGTTGCTTTACAAATCATAGTGGATTACATCATTGTGCCATGCGATCTAAACTCACCTGATAAGAAGGAAGAAGCTAGCAACATGCATCTGCAATCTGAGTACAGTCTGATGAAGAAAAGCCTGTGGATGAGCAGGCAGACTGCTCTGATAATTGGCTATGATGTAGTTGTCAGTTTCTTTATTGCCATAACTAGAAACAAGCAAAAAAATGTTTATTTTTTTTCTGCAAAAATAGGGATGATGTAGTAATGCCTATGCCATGAAAGTACAGAAATAAGGTAGGGATGAATACACAAAGCCATACAAAATACCTAGGCAAGTAGCCAAATCTTTCCAAGAAAAACTTTTTATCTACAACTATATGATGAATTCCTTTCATTTGCATGAATCCAGGTTTGAATAAAAGCATTTAAATTGAATAATGCTATAGTCTTATGATGGCTAATTCCCATAAGCTATTAACATTGACTTATTGGCTATTTATGTAGGGATTTTTGTATGGTTTTGTGTATTCAGTCCTTCCTTGTTTCTGTACTTTTTGGCAATGCCATCCCTACATTATCCTTATTTTTTCCAATTTCTTTTTACTTATATCCCATCTTTTTTTTTTTAAATAATACCAATGAATATTTTATAATGAATGGCAGTTGCTATGAAAGCAGCAGTTTTAGCCTGGCATGACAAGTTTAAGTTAGCGAAAAGCTATATTGCTTCTGCATTCTCCAAGTTAAAATGCAACATTTTGGTGTACAAGTCATTTTAACAACTTCAAGCATTGGTGAGCTAGCCCTTCTGATGCCAGAATTATAATAATCAGCAGAACATGTGGCTCTTATGCTACACACAGATTCTCTACTTAATGATGTTTTTTTACTAAACTGAAGATCTCAATACCTTTTGAAAACCAATGTTGGAAATTTATAAGTCTCTTAGATTGTTATAAGAAAGATTTGGGACTATGATGAGCAATACATAATATGCATCGGCCATTTTTTCCCAGCCCATCCCTACATACTAAACACTACCGTTCTTAGTGATAACTGCTTGACCAGCACTTAGGACAGTCGGTTCAATAATAAACCAAGGATTGCAATGATATTATGACTCTTAAATCTTAACTCCTGAGTGATCTTAAGTAGCAATATATCTTGTAATACTTGCTCAAATTATCTATACAGTGGGTTATGATATTACACAACTAGTACATACATAATGGTTGGAGAGGGCTTGAATGGGTAATGAAGAAAAACTTTAATATAAGTTTAACATAACAGCAAATGTACAACGTTTCAACAAGGTTTTGTCATCATCAGGTATCATCATTCAAGCCGTCTCCAACCATTATTAGTCTCAAAGTGGGTTCCTCGTCATTGAATTAGTACATATATATGGTTTTCAAGTATGATTCTAGAAGAACAACAGTTATTTTGATTATTAGTGATCACTGAGAATTCTGACATACAAACAGTCTAAAAGGACTACATAATCCTCGCTTTCTGAGCCTTAAGTTACATTCTGTGGCAAATGTTGACCAACTTTTTACCTAAGAAACTTCTTAAGAGGTACTGTGCATTAGATAATGTGACTCTGCATTTTCCTAGTTTCACATTACACCTGTGGAGATTGCAATTCCACACAAGTCTTCCTGAAGTACAGTTAGGGAACTATGTTCTAACAAACCAGGAGAAATGGACTATATATACACCTTGCCAGAATCTGAAGACATGGTATGATCGCAACTGGATATGTTTTCCATTGCTCAGCAAAAGGCTCATGATGAATTGCAAATTAGGACTTCTTTGGTCTCTCTTCTCAACATGAAATTTGGTGCTCATGAAACACTTATGACTGAGTGTCATAACTGATTTGCTGAGAATGAGTAGAGAGGTACTTATAGGGCACCCTGACTATTACTAATCAGCTGGATCATATCTCATCACTGGTCAATGTCACCCTCTGCTGATAGTGGAGTAGAAGTGCCTCTTATGGATGAAACCTTCCAGATGGAACTGTCTTGCCATCAGGAGAGAGAGCAAATACCCAGTGAAGGTGTCAGAATTTAAAAAATAATATTGAATATGCATATGGGTTTTTTTGCCTATTCTCAAAATAAATGGCTTTTACTTATATTTCTTAATAGTATAAATTTTACTATGTTGTTGTTGGGCCTAGGATTTTTCTATAGTAGATGTCTGTGACTTGTTAGCAATAGATTTAATGATGAATAAA